ACACCAAAATTGATGTTTAATTGTTGTTTTTTTTTAATATTTACTTTTAAAGTAAGAAATTGAGTAAGGTATAATACTACAATTTGAATTATAGGCTACAGTTTGATACCCAACTTATTGACATAAAGTCCTGAAATAGTAGTTAATAAAATTTTGAATGCAAGTCAACAAATGCGATGACATGACCTTCACCCGTGACCTGTGTGGAAAAGGTTAACATCATGTAACTCGTGAAGTTTACTTACTTTACTTTTTTCTTGTTCCAAAGCAAGGTGAGGGACCTGGATCAGTGTAAGACTGTGTTTATTTAGAATTTCTGCCACACCATCAATCCATCTCTTCCTGAGTTGCCCTCTTCCTTCAAATCCTGTTATTTCAATATTATATACTTGTGCTGTTGGTGAGTTAGCTGCATTCTCACTATATGGTCAAACCATGTGATTCTTTGGTTCCAAATGTATTTGATTATTGTGGCTGTTCCAACCATATCTCTGTTTTGTTTTTTAATTTCTTATCTTGTCTCTTCTAGTTACATTAACAGCTTTACATAAGCATCTCATCTCTCAAATTTTCCATACCTAATTTTTACTGAGAGTCTAGGTTTAACATTGGCAACTCCGGGCTAGTACAAAGGTGGAGTTTATTAATTTGCACTATATTTCCATTGGTATATTTGGGTGTTTCAGGAAAGATGTTAATTGGTAGTTTACGTAGCCCACTTTCTATGTTCTTGTTTTAATTTTTTTATGTGTTCTTCTATCTTTTCAGGTATTTGAATTCATTGACCTGCTGTTCTTAATATTCGCTTTTCACTTGTGTGGTGTTCTGCTTACTAACATTGTTTCTTTTATTCCTGTCCTGATTTTCATATCATTTATTTGGCAGTTGCTATTGAGGCTTTTTGTGTGGTTTTGTAGCTTTTCTTCGCTTAGATGTAACAAACACTGCTTATCAGCAGAAAGTAATTTGTTTAAAGCTTCTGGAATTGGATCTGCTTGTTTGGTAAACTGGTCCATATAAATGATGAATAGAAGAGGGGATAAGAGACATTCTTGTCTTACCCAGGTGATATTTGAAACCAGTTAGTGAGCATTAAATTTAAACATTAACTGAAACTTTCAAGGAGTATCTGAATTAGCACATTTTTTTAAACTTAAGTAACCAATGAGTTTTATGTTTTTATTCTTTTGTTACAGTTTTGCACTCTTTGTTAAGCATCCTCTTTTTTTTTTCTTCTTGGAAGTTATACCCACTTTATCTCCTTAGATAAATAGTTATTGTGTCGTTTTGTTGTGCATATATCTGTGTATCTACTCCAGTTTGCTCTTAATGAAGATAGGTCCACCTTTCAAAGGCATTTGGGTTATGGGGTTTCATAATTTTGCCTTTAATTGATTTTTTTTTATCCTACATGTTTTCTCAAGATCCTGAATGTATATCTGTATAAATCTTGGATTGATTTGTTTCTACTTTTGTCTTGCAGATAAGAAAGATGTTAGTTGTAGATCCACTGAAGAGATTAACAGTGTCGGAAGCTTTAAAACATGAATTTTTCCAGGTTGTAGTAAGTATCTCGTATATAATGATGAGAAAAGTCTACAAAAGTACTTTTTCTATTATTTTTAACCATAAATATTACTAATTATTCATACATAGGTGCTTATTTCTAATTCAGCTGTCAATGAGCTAGTCTCATTTTTATTATATTGTTATATTTTATTTTTAGCCCAACATAAACTCACCCAAACCTTCTAAAGTATCAGTATACACTTGGGAGTTGTGTGGGTGGGCTTTGTCTCTACACACAAGTAAAGCAGTAATGAATAATTTTTTTAAAGAAAAGTAGAACTTTTTGTTCAAATAAATAAATTTTCGTAAGATGTGATGATACTATTCTATTGACTGACTGTATGGATAAGTAGCTCAATCTAGGACTTGTAAGTTCTGATTTAACATAGAAGAGGTTTCCTATGGTTATCTCCTTTTTTGACTTACATCTCTGATAGCAAGTTGTGGTCATTAGAAGAGAATTTTATATGGATACCTCCTTACTCTACTCAGATCAGTGATGGCACATTGTGATCATGAGTTGAGAGTTTTACATGTATACTTCCTTACTCTACTCAGATCAGTGATGGCACATTGTGATCATGAGTTGAGAGTTTTATATGGATACTTCCTTACTCTACTCAGATCAGTGATGGCACATTGTGATCATGAGTTGAGAGTTTTATATGTATACTTCCTTATTCGACTCAGATCAGTGATGGCACATTGTGATCATGAGTTGAGTAGTTTTATATGTATACTTCCTTATTCGACTCAGATCAGTGATGGCACATTGTGATCATGAGTTGAGAGTTTTATATGGATACTTCCTTACTCTACTCAGATCAGTGATGGCACATTGTGATCATGAGTTGAGAGTTTTATATGG